GCAACATTGCTCACGTGCTCAGTAGCCAAATTTGGAGCGCAGGCCGCATGCCGCCGCCCCCAGCCAATTCAGCGTTGCCTCTCGCGGTCCGTGGGCCCATGCGGAGTTCCACCGGAGAATGTTGTGGCGCAGGCTGCTCGCCGCCGCCCATGCCACTTCGTCGCAGTCTTCGCGCGGTCGGTGGTTTCGCGGGGGGCTCCACCGAAGGCCCTTGTGGTAGATTTCGCATGCGGAGTCGCGCGTGTCGGGCGGTCTTGTCTATGTTTCGCACTGCGTTCAGACATGGTTGGCTTTTCGCAGGGTTTATTTTGTCTCGGAGGGGCAAAGGGAAGATGCGGGCAAATGGGTCAGCACGATGGGCAGGAGCGACGACCAAGGTCATTATTGGAAGGATGATGCGGGCGAGGGGCGCCTCCGATGATTGGCGCTCAGACTACGCTGTTTCCAGCCTTTGAGCGAGCAGTATCTCCCAGTTACATTCTATTCTTGCGAGGCTCGGAACTGACACTGTGGGCGGACGGCGCTGGGGGAGGGATCAACGAGGGAGGCTTAGGAGCAGAAGTGAGGGGGGGAGGGGCAGAGACGGGGGCGGCGGGCAGGGTTGGGGGTGGGGGCCAGAGGGCTTGCGGGTGAGCCCATGGGAGGCTCCGCGAGGGCCCCCATGGGCCCGCGGTGGGTCCGGACTCCCCCCCCCCGCGGTGGGTCCGGACTCCCCATCGGCATCGTTTTTTTCCACGTCTGAGAAGACTGCCGAGGGGAGTCCGAACCCACCGCGGCCCCCGTGGGCGCTCCCGCGGCGGTGGGCCCGGACTCCCCTCGGCAGTGGTTTTGGACATGTCTGGGGGGCCTGGCACGGGCTCGGCAGGGCCCCCTGGGGCCTTCGATTCTGTTGCGACTGGGGATCCAAAGTGCTGTTTGGGTCCCAGAGTTGTCGCGTCGTTCGGGGTGTGGGCGGGAGAGTATGTTGCCTCCAGATTACGCCACACTGGGTGCGCGAGAATGAGCTTGTGGAGCCTGAGCGGGGCCTGCAGTGGGCCGTCCTGGAGCTGTTTTGAAGTCTTGTAGCAGTGCCATGTTAGGATTTCGTGTTTTTTCTTTCGGTGGGCATCTTGGCGACTTGGCGGCTCTCTGGCGCCCAATGGGGATCGATGGGCCGTTTTGGAAGCCCTGGGATTGCATTGCAGCGGACTCCGTTTGCCTTCGCGCCGTCGTTCGCACGCCGTGGGAACGACGCGGAGGCATTTTAACCAATCGAAAAGTAGTGTGAAGGAACTTTTGGAGGCCGTAGTTTTTTCTCGATCCTCCTGTCCGTTGGGTCTTCGTTGGGAGCCCGGAGCGCTGAGCGCCTCATCTCCTGCCTTCCCCCTCCTCTACCACCGCCTCCTCCTCCAGGCCGCTTCAGTCCGTCATCATCTATCCTCTTCTCTCCTGTGTGGTCGGTCTTCGCTTAGGAGTATCCGCCAATGCAGTTTCCGCGCACCTCTCGAACGATTCGTGGCCCCATAGGGCTCCGCCGAAGGCCCCTGTAGCAAGGGCCGCCCCCTTCTGCCCGATGCCAATTCAGCGCGCACCCCGCGCGGTTCGCGGCTCCTGAAATGGCGTTGCGCCGAACATTCTCGTAGCAAAGGATGCGCGCCGCCCGTCCAGACCACGTCAGCGGGCCCCTCGCTCGATTCGCGGCCCCATCGGATATCATTCCGAAGGCCTTTGGAGCGCAGGCCACTTGCCAACGCCCAGACAATTCCAGTTCCCCCCTCGCAAAGTTCGCGGCCCCATTGGGAGTTCCACCGAAGGTCTTTGTAGCGCAGGCCGCCCGTCGCCGCCCAGTCCACCCGAGTTCTTTATTCACGCGGCTCGTGGCCCCGAAGGGGGCCCCGCCGAAGCTCCAGGTAGCGCGGGCCGCATGCCGCCGCCCAGACCGCTTCAGGTCTTCATTCGCCCCGTTCGTGGCGCCATAGGAAGTTCGGCTGCCGACCAGCAGACATGTTCAACGCAATTCTTGCGCGCGCCGCGGCCTCGTGGAGGTTTACACCGAAGGCTTGTGATGCGCGCGCCGCACGTCGCCACCGACAGTATTGCGGCGCACTTTCACGCGGCTCGTGGCCCCACAGGATGCTACGCCGAAGGCTTCTGTCGCGCTGGCTGCTTGCCGCCGCTCAATCCAATCCAGCACCCCCCCTCGCGCAGTTCGGTGCCCCATAGGGAGCTCGGCCGAAATTCTTTGTCCCGGTGCAGGCCGCATGCCGCTGGCCAGACTATTTCAGTTTATAGTTCTTGCAGTTCGGGGTCCCATGCGGCGCCCCGCCGAAGGCTTTTGCGGCGCAGGCCGCTTTGCGCGATTTGGACTATGTCAGCACGCCTTGATACGGTTCGCGGCCCCACAGAGAACGTCACCACATTGGTTTTGAAGCACAGGTCGCTTGCAGCCGCCCAAACCATTGCCGTTTTTTCTTCATGCGTTTCGCGGAGTCATGGGGAGCTCCACCGAAGGCCCACGTAGCACAGGCCGCGCGCCGCCGCCCGGACCATGTCAGCGCAGTCTTCGCGCGGTTCGTGGCCTCCAGGGGGGGTGCACCGAAGGTTGTTGTGGCAGAGTCCGCATTCACACTCGATGTGCTGGCGTGCGTCGCATACGAATGACGTTCTGAAAAACGGTTGGCTTCTTCGCAAGAGTGAGTATAGGTGAATATGTGTGGGGTTCGTCGTGAAGTTTTTCCTTGAACGTGTAGAACTGCGCCCCGAAAAGAAAACGAGTTTGGCGTTTGGACGGCCGGCAATGTAAGTCATGCCCAAGTTGCAACGCGCACTCTCTTGAGCTTAGCATGAGAGGTGCCTTCAACGTCAGCCCCGATCTTGGGCAAGCCACGCGCGGCGCTGCAGACATTCCGCAAGACCTACTTCACCACAAGTATGCGTGAGGACCGCTTATAGTGGTACACACCTGCAAAACGCGCAAGGCAACACATTTTTTTGTTTCGCTTCGCGACGACAGAACTACATTGTGGACCAGCAAGACACATTACACATGAGAGCAACACCGTAGCACATGATGCAGCCAGCCCTGACTACCCTCGGAGGACGCGGCGGGTTCGGTCCCGATTGCTTCGTAGTTACTCAGCGAAGTGGGGCTACGCGTCGCTGAAGGAGACCGTGGACACAGTGGAGCATTGCAAAGAGGAGATCGAGATAGTGTTCGAGATGCACGAGTCACTCGCCCTCGAGCCGCCCTACTTCTCGGTGATGGTGATGCTCGTGAGCGGCTTCTTCATGTCTTGCTGCAGGTCCTCGCGTCCCTCGCCAGCTCCCTCATGTACAACGTCCTCTGGTGCGTCAGCTCCTGCTCTTCCTGGCTGGAGCTGGCCCTCATGGTCGGCCACGCCGTCACCAAGCCAGTCTGGATCATCAACTCCCAGGGACGAGGGCACCCAGGTATCGGACGGCGAGGATTCGGACTCGGCGGGAGGCGAAGTTCTGAGGCAGCTGGGCATGGTGGCCGAGAGGCTCTCGGCACTCGAGGAGCGGCAGGCGTCGCGCCCGACGGAGCCTCCTCAGCCCGCTCCAGTTCCGTCAGCACCTCAAGCCCCAGCGAAGCCTGGAATCAGCGCGGACAACTACGACCAGATGATGGGTGTTCTCCTTCAAAGGCTGGACCGCCACAAGGATATGGTGGAGCAGGACAGCCTGGCCGCGACTGCCAGCGGGTCCGAGCCGCGGGTAGTCAGCTCAACGCCCAACCCCGAGATCGACTCGTTGGTCAGGGGCCTGGACGACTCCTTCAAGGACATGCGCGAGGTCGCCAAGGAGAAGCTCCAGGCCTACTCCAGCGACGTGGCGTGGACGATCCCAGGAGGCATCAAGACGAGAGCGGCCCCGTCGATGGTCGCTCGCCTTTACCGCAGTGGAGATTCAGCTGTGTCAAGCGCCAGGGAGATGATTCTCACGAAGCAGCTGGATGGAAACCGCATGGTGGAGGAGGCTCTTCTCATCAGCATGATGCTCGATCGTTCCATGGTGGAGGCGCCTGCGGACTGGATCAACTACAAGACGACGTAGCTGGCGATGCGGCGCCTCCACGGCATCGAGAGGGCCTTCGAGAACGTGAAGCAGAGGTCGGACTGGAAGCCTCCCAACGGCTCAAAGGCCGGCTGGAAGTCTCGCGTCAACTACGCCCTACTGGAGGAGCTCGACACGTCCAAGTCGGATCAGGAGGGGCTGCTCATCGACGGCGTGGAGAGGGAGCTGCGCGGACGCTTGGCTCATCGCGCCTTTCTCGCCGAACCCCATCGACAAGCTACAGGACAAGAAGCACGCGCCGAGCAAGGGCGGCTGACTGCTGGGAGGTGCTCACTATTCAGGCGCTTCGCGAAGCGCATTCTCTTGGCGGCCATCATCTTCGAGGCTGCCCACATCTACCACAACTTGCACAGCGTTATTTTCCTAACTTCTCATCACGATGAGAGCGGAGGTCGAGCGCGCGACCCCCTGGAGGTGCTGCCGCTCCTGCCGGCGCCGCCCCTCCTTTCATCCCCTTCGGGGCGGTCGAGGTCGCGTTTCGCCCTGGAGCGAGCGATCAGGGCCAGGGCGAACGCCGCTCTGAGGTCCTTAGCCGCGCTGGCGACGAACTCCTACCACGACCTGCGGGACTCCAGCTTCGGATCCTCCAAGGAGTGGGACATGGGCCACGAGCTGCCGCGCAGGATCTCCGAGGGGGTGCTGCAGTGCCACCGGGGCGCGCACGATCAGAAGATGCACGACTCCGACGCCGAGTCCGCTTTCGAGCGGCTGGCCTTGCATGCCAAGCCTGGGACCTACTTGGGCTTCAATGTATCAGACAAGGACAGCGACGACGTGCCCAACGAGGGAAAGTCATGCCCTTCGTGAGCGGCGAAGCGTCTCTGCCTCCAGCGGGGACGCAGCCATGCGACGCGAGAATGATTTCACCCAAAGCGAGATACTACTTCGACAGACTCTACGAGAGGATGCGCCTGCCGCCCAGCCAGGTCGACGAGGCCGACATCGAGAAGACGAGAGCTTACATGGACCCCAGGTTGAGGAACAAGTCGGCTCGCCTCCAGTTCGCGCTGAGACTATGGGAGTCAGGCGTGCTCGGCTTCACGGACATCTGCAAGGCGGAGATCTCGGTCTTCTTTGTCATGAAGAAGGTCAGCGAGGCAGGCCAGCTCATCCTTCGCCGAGTCTGGGACCTGAGGCAGGTGAACAAGCGCTTTCAGAAGCCGCCGCGCCTCTCTCTGGGCTCTCCGATGGCGATGGCGGAACTGGACCTATACGACGAGATCACAGAGGGCAGGATCTTGCAGTCAACGTGGGGAGACGTGCCAGATTACTTTCACAGATGCAAGAGCTGCAGCGAGCTGTGGCCGTGCATGGTGTTCGGCGGCGCGACGATCCCCCAGCTCCTGAAGGAGCTCAAGCGCCAAGGCAAGGAGATCCCAAAGGTCCCAAAATGGGCCCGCTACTTGTGCTTGGTGGTGATGCTGATGGGCTTCAGCTGGTCACCTGCGATCTCTCGCGGTGCTCTGGAGGACCTTCTGCGCGATCTACCCAGCTTCCCGCGGGGGGCCCAGCTGGTCCACGGGCGTGTTCCTCCCAGCCTCTCCGAGACGGCCTTCATCTACTGGGCGTTCATGGACGACGTCGCTTCGATGACTCTGCGGCGGGACGAGAAGAGCGAGGTGACGGTCGAGCGCGCGACCCCCTGGAGGTGCTGCCGCTCCTGCCGGCGCCGCCCCTCCTTTCATCCCCTTCGGGGCGGTCGAGGTCGCGTTTCGCCCGGGGGCGAGCGATCAGGGTCAGGGCGAACGCCGCTCTGAGGTCCTTAGCCGCGCTGGCGACGAACTCCTACCACGACCTGCGGGACTCCAGCTTCGGATCCTCCAAGGAGTGGGACATGGGCCACGAGCTGCCGCGCAGGATCTCCGAGAGGGTGCTGCAGCGCCACCGGGGTGCGCACGATCAGAAGGCGCACGACTCCGACGCCGAGTCCGCTTTCGAGCGGCTGGCCTTGCATGCCAAGCCTGGGACCTACTTGGGCTTCAATGTGTCAGACAAGGACAGCGACGACGTGCCGCAACGAGGGAAAGTCATGCCCTTCGTGAGCGGCGAAGCGTCTCTGCCTCCATCGGGGACGCAGCCATGCGACGTGAGAATGATTTCACCCAAAGCGAGATGCTATTTCGACAGATTCTACGAGAAGATGCGCCTGCCGCCCAGCCAGGTCGGCGAGGCCGACATCGAGAAGACGAGAGCCTACATGGACCCCAGGTTGAGGAACAAGTCGGCTCGCCTCCAGTTCGCGCTGAGACTATGGGAGTCAGGCGTGCTCGGCTTCACGGACATCTGCAAGGCGGAGATCTCGGTCTTCTTTGTCATGAAGAAGGTCAGCGAGGCAGGCCAGCTCATCCTTCGCCCAGTCTGGGACCTGAGGCAGATGAACAAGCGCTTTCAGAAGCCGCCGCGCCTCTCTCTGGGCTCTCCGAGGGCGATGGTGGAACTGGACCTATACGACGAGATCACAGAGGGCAGGATCTTGCAGTCAACGTGGGGAGACGTGCCAGATTACTTTCACAGATACAAGAGCTGCAGCGAGCTGTGGCCGTACATGGTGTTCGGCGGCGCGACGATCCCCCAGCTCCTGAAGGAGCTCAAGCGCCAAGGCAAGGAGATCCCAAAGGTCCCGAAAGGGGCCCGCTACTTGTGCTTGGTGGTGATGCTGATAGGCTTCAGCTGGTCACCTGCGATCTCTCACGGTGCTCTGGAGGACCTTCTGCGCGATCTACCCGGCTTCCCGCGGGGGGGCCCAGCTGGTCCACGGGCGTGTTCCTCCCAGCCTCTCCGAGACGGCCTTCAGCTACTGGGTGTTTATGGACGACGTCGCTTCGATGACTTTGCGGCGGGACGAGAAGAGCGAGGTGACGGAAACAGTTCGCGAACACGCTGGGAAGAAGCTCAAGGAGGTGGGCCTCGACATGCACAAGGGCGGAGTCGGTGTGGCGATGCCTCCCTCTCTGGGTGTGACGATTACTCAACGCCCTCATCGCTTGATGACAGCGCAGGAAAAGGTCAAACATGTCACTGGTGCGACCAGGGCTCTCCTGGATCGAGGTCGAGCGACTTCAACCGAGCTATCAAGGATAATTGGGTCGTGGGTGTGGTTGGCGATGTGCTGTCGGGCCGCTTTTTGCATGCTGGACGCCTGCTACAAGCTCGTGACAAAGTACGGCGACGACGAGCAAGTTCACATCCTGTTGGAGAGCGTGGCCAACGAGCTGTACATGCTGCACCACCTGGCCCCGCTGATGTACACCCACTTGGAGCCGCAGTGGAGCTCCAGCGCCTTCGCTACGGACGCGAGCGAGGAAGGCCTGGGAGTAGTCGAGACAACAGCAAGCCGAGAAGAAGTCCAAGCCGAAGTAAACCGACTGTGGAGAGCCGAACATCTTCGAGACATGGCCAGAGGAACTGCTCAGCGGCAAAAACCTCGAGCGAGCCAGACGAGGCATCCCCCCAGTGGTGATCGATTGCGAGGTCCCTCCTATGAAGTTCATGGCTGACATCTTCTCGGGGCGCAGCGGCTTCGGGCAGGCGATCCGCGAGGAGTTACAGTGCCAGACCTTGTTCGTGGACAACGCAAGCAGGCTCGCCACGACCTCCTGGGCCCGTCCTTCGTCGAGCTCGCCTGCCGCGCAGTTCTTCGGCCCCTCTTCTTCATGGTCCACTTGGCTCCTCCGTGCTTTACTTCTTCACCTTCCCATCGACCTCCCTTGCGAGCTCCAGGCCGTTGGATACTTGGTCTCCCCGGGCTATCTCCTCAGCAGGTTCAGCGAGTGCGGGGAGGCAACGCCTTGGCGCAGGCGGCGATCTCTATTTGCTATGCGTGTCTGGCCTCAGGAACAGGTTTCTCATTGGAGCATCCAAGGACTTCGATGATCTGGGACCTCCCCGACATGGCGAAGTTGTTGACGATGAATGGAGTTCTAGTCGTGGAGATGGTGCACTGTTCTCTTCGGAGCCCGATGGAAGAAGCCAGCTCGGATACTGACCAGTGTGCAGGCGCTGAAGGAGCTGGAGTGCATGTGTTCTCAGGATCACGATCATCAGGAGCTTCGCGGGCGCGATTCTCAAGGACGAATCTGGACGCGCCTCTCGGCGATCTACCCGCCTCGCTTGTGCAGTGCATGCGCCTCGTGCGTAGCCGAGGCCGTCTCCAACAACGAGCTGAAGTTGCACGATTGGCGCACGCGAGAAGTTCGAGGCGCATCGCCGAAGCCGATCGCAGTCATGAGTCGCTGGGCCAAAGTATCCAGATGGCATCTCGCATGGAAAAGGGTATGGGCTTATCACGATCACATCAATGTGCAGGAGATGAGAACGGTCGCATCAGTATCTCGGCACTTGTGTCGGTCATCAAAGAACTGGTTCAGCCGAGTCTTGGTTCTGCGCGGTTCTATGGTTACGGTGGGAGCCGTCAGAAAGATGCGAAGCTCTTCGCGACCTTTGACTCAGCTGAAGAAGATCGGTACGATCACGTTGGCCACCGGTATCAGATTGACGCTGAGGTGGATCCCCACGGACATGAACCCTGCCGGCGGCCCGTCGAGAGGCGAGGAGGAGATAGGCAGCGCCGAGATCACCATGACCAAGTCCGAGCGGATGAGGGCCGCGATGGACAGCGACTTCGAGTTCGAGAGGCTCTTCGGGGACATGCTGGAGATCAGGGGCATGCACGACGACATGCGACCTGGCCTGGCATCTGCGGTGTCGATCCTGATTCTAGCTTCAGCCCCAGAGGTCAGGGTCACAGCCATCGCAGACCCGAAGTCTAACGACTAGAACGAGAACTTCCACTTTGACAGCGACCACACCTTCGACAACGACGACGAGCCAGCGGTTGACGACGTGGGAATGTCCGCAGGAGCGCTCGCGGCAGCGGCGACCACCAAGAAGACAGCCAAGAAGAAAGGTAAGCAACGAGCCCGCGTTCCAAAAAACAAGAAGGGCCCCCTCGCCTTCGAGAACGCAGCGCGGGAGCCCCCAGCGTCGAGAACTAGCCTGGGCCCGGGCGCGCTGGAGGTACCTCTGCGACTTCTCGTTCACGCTGTTCAGGACAACGCGAACGTGAGTCACATCGAGGAGGTGGAACCCTTCCTCGTGAAAAGTTCGTCTCAAGAGGCTTCCTTTCGCTACAGCGGCCGAGCGCGACATCGCCCTAGCGGCGGAGCTAGACAACCTGTGATTCGTGGAGAGGGCGTCTGTTTCAAGAGGAGTTCGACTGCACCATGGACTGGTCCATCTGTTTCCAGAGTGGAAGTCTGAGCTGCCGATTTCCTTGCGTGCCCTGCGCAGCTGGGAGAAATTCCAAGAGTCTTGGGAAGGTGGTCCAGCCTCTGCAGAAGCAATCTGTTTCATAGCCTCCCAAGCGATCAAAGCAGGCCACGTGGGCGAATGGATGGCCTTTATTGTAGCTTACGATTGTTATCTTCGAGAACAAGATTGGTTGCAGTTGAGAGGTGAAGACGTTCATGTCAGTGTCAAAATGAATTCCAAGGACCTCCCAAGTGATGGCACTCAGCATGCAGTTGGTTCTATCAAAGATGCGCTACTTCTAGGACGTAGACACCGAGGCGTGGCGATCGACAGTGGTCTTCTCTCACACATCTTAGCGGAGCGTGTCAAGCATATCGAGCCAACCGATAAAGTCTTCAACACCACAGCTGCCAAAGCTATTTCAGTTTGTAGAGGTGTTCAATCGAAGTTCGGACTCGAGTGGATCGGACCGATGCATACGTTGAGACACAGCGGACCTAGTTACGATATCTTGCACAAGAGACGCTCAATTCAAAAAGTTCAGAGACGCGGGGGGTGGACACAAGCCAAGTCGATGGCAAGGCACGCGAAGCCACATTCCTTTATCGTTCATGACGCACGGCTACCTGCAAAGATCATAGACGCGGGCCGCAGGGCCCTTCACGATCTGAGCTCGACGCTGAGGAGCATCCCTACTCAGAGCCCATGGCGACCTGCAGCATCGCGGGGCTTGTCGTATATCGCAGGATCTGGCGCCGGCCAGGTCATGGAGCCCGTGGATCCGGAAGCCTGAGACGCGGCGGCGTGCTAGGCACCGCTGCCCTCTTGCCTTTAGCCAATTTGCTTTCTCTCTCTCCTCTTCTCTCATTAGATCATCAGTGCTGACGCACCCACCCCCCCAGTCCCAGTCTTTAATTGAGAACCCGAGGTTGCGGGGTGAGGGGTGTTTTTGTCGGGCCTGTGCCTCTCGCTGCTGCTTGGGCCCAGGCTCTCGCCGACAGCGGCGAGTGAAACCTTCCGATCGGCGTGCTGCGCGAGCCGAGGGTGGCGTGAAACAGATCCCGTCTGGCCATCTTGGAGCTCCGTCTCAGAATACATGTTTGTTAGCGGGCTTTCTTAGAGAGCTCTATGTGCAGGCCGTGTGTGAAGCGCTCTAGGCTCTACTGGCCCTGAGTGCTTAAACCTCCCCCCCTCGGGCCTAGAGAGACTGGAGGGGGTGGGGCAGCGTGCGGAGCAGGTGCAGAATAGATGTCCATAACGTTTTGGCTCTAGCTCCCCATCCCGACCCCCCCTTTTTTGATGGGGTGTTTTTGTCGGGCCTGTGCCTCTCGCTACTGCTTGGGCCCAGGCTCTCGCCGACAGCGGAGTGTGAAACCTTCCAATCGGCGTGCTGCGCGAGCCGAGGGTGGTGTGAAAAAGATCCCACTTGGCCATCTTGGAGCTCCGTCTCAGAAATTTTCTTTGGGCACGAAGGAAATATGGATCCCTAGTTACCTTTTCAATGTTTTGGGACACGAGGTGCGACAAACCCGCGGAATACGCGATAGTGCCGATCAATTCCGGGAATATGTGCCGCAGTGCTCAGTTCGGAGGACCCGAAGGGATTGAGGACACTCCACTCGGTACTTTGCTGCACGATGGCGGATAACACGCCTCTGGCCCACCGGCATTTTAAAAAATCTCACTGCGATCCCCGCTTTCCCTCCCTTTTCTGCTCTCGCAGTCGCCGGGGACCCCCCCCTCCATGCGCTTTCGCGTTGGCCGGGGGCTGCCCCAAACAGGCCCAGAGCGGCCGCGGGACAGCCCAGAAAAATCCCAGACAACCCAGGACGGTAGTCGCGGGAGTGACCGCTGCAATGAGAAGGAAATTTTGAAACATGTCAGCGACAAGCTTTCAGTTGTTCCAGCACTGGTGACCAGGTCTTATTTCTCATACGGGTTCGCTTCAGCCTCCGCCAGTTATTTTCCCAACACTGGCCGCTTCCATTTGGAATTCTCACTTCCTACGTCTCCCAGCTTCTCTGTGCATTCGGCTAGGCCTCCCAAATTTGGTCACCGATGCATCGGCCATGCGGCCCGATGTGGGGCCCGATGTTCTTCAAGTCGACGTCGCCGATGCATCGGCGACGCAGCGCCATCCTCCGGCCGCATCCACTCCGGATTCCAACCTCGAGCGTTTGATTTTCAGCTTCCCACCTCCACCTGTCGACCTCCAAACTGCACCACTTCAGCACTCCGACATCCAGCTTCCAGCATCCGACTCTCCACACCACCTCCAGGTATCCGCCTCAAATCACCAATGCCAGCTCCTGAGCGCTCCGGCCCGCCGAACCGCCAACCGTCACCGCTCGGTCGCTTGCTCGCTCGGTACTCTCGAAGACGGGGAACACTGCATGAACATACACTTTTCGGAGATGCTCGCGGATTTCTTGGGACTGCGCTCAAGCTCCCTAGCGGCACTTCCTGCGCCGCCCCTGGCGCGCTCTGTGCGCCAGGGAGGGGGGCTGAGCGAAGATCCAAGAGGTTCGCGTGGACCTCCACAAGTTCATGTTTATCGAAGACGCCTACGGCGAATCACCGCCGCCCCCTGCCTTTTTGGAAGCGCCTATGTGGCCGAAGGTTGTGGCCAGAGGCCCGCCAAGCTATCGGACCACGTGCTCCCCGAATCGGTTTGGAAAGCTTTCGGGGAACACGTGGGCATCTTGAAGGTCATCTTGGCCGTCTGGAGGCCATTCTGACCCTTTCGGGCCTTCTTGGAGGACGTCTTGGAGGGCTCTTGGGCCGTCCTGGAGGCTATCTTGAGCGTCTTGGAGAACTCTTGGGCCGTTTTGGGGGCCTCTTGGGGCTGTGTCTTGGGCCTCTTGGGCGATCTTTGTGGGCATTTGGGCCATCTCGGGTCGTCGGAAGGCAGAAGAAAAGCAAATACCACAATCCTTCAAGAACCCATGGCACATCAATGATTTTGGCCTTTTCGGGCCTTCCTGGAGGCCCTCTTGGAGGCCTCTTGGGCCGTCCTGGGCCATCTTAGGGCCATGTTCGGCCGTCTTGGTGGGCTCCTGGTTCGTCTAACACCGTCGGAAGCCGTTTGGGGGGCCTCTATGGGCCGACTTGGGTCCCTCTTGGAATGCTCCAGGGCCGTCTTGGAGGCCATCTTGGGCGTCTTAAAAGGCCTCCTGTGCCGTCTTGGGGGCCGTCTTGGGGCCTTCTTGGGCCGTTCTGGGGCCATCTTGGAGGCCTCTTGGGTGATCTTTCGGCGATCTTTGGGGGCTCTTGGGCCGTCTCGGGCCGTCGGAAGGCCTAAAAGAAGCACATGTCAAAATCCGTCAAAAACCGCAGGACAGTCAATGTTTTTGGCCTCTTCTGGCCTTCCTGGAGGCCCTCTTGGGGGCCTCTTGGGCCGTCTTGGGCCAGCTTCGAGCCAACTTCGGCCATCCTGGTGGGTTCCTGGCACGTCTGACGCCGTCGGGAGCCGTCTTGGGGGCCTTTCTGGGCCAACGGGGGACCCGCTTGGGGCGCTTCGGGGCCGTCTTGGAGGCCATCTTAGGCGTCTTGGAGGCCATCTTGGGCGTGTTGGAGGCCTCTTGGGCCGTCTTGGGGCCCTCTTGGGGCCGTCTTGGAGGCCACTTGGGCCGTCATGGGGCCCTCTTGGGGGCCTCTTGGGCGATCTTGGGGGCCTCTTGGGCCGTCTTGAGCCGTCGGAATGCCGAGAAAAAGCAAATTCCCCAATCCTTCAACAACCTAAGGAAAATCAATGATTTTGGCCTCTTCGGGCCCTCCTGGAGGACCTCTTGGAGGCCTCTTGGGCCGTCTGGGAGGCCCCTGGGGGGCCTCTTGGGCCGTCTTGGACTCTCTTGGGCCATCTTGGAGGCCGTCTTGGACCATCTTGGGCGGACTTGGAGGCCATCTTGGAGCATCGTGGAGGCCATCTTGGGCCAACGTGGCCATCTTGGAGGCCATCTTGAGCTGTCTAGGAAGATGTTTCCGGGAATTGGGAGATCTACGGGTAGCTGGCGGGTCGGGCCCCGGCCGAAACCCATTGGGAGAGTTCTTTTGGAAAAAGAACCAAAACCAAAACCAAAACCCATATGGTCTGGCACGCCAGGCACCCCTTTGCTAAAGCAAAAGGGGGCGGCGGATCTATTAGCTTTCGGCCCAGACCGCCGCCGTGCCTGGGTTGTGGGTATGAAGCCTATTTGATGTTCGTTGGGGTATCGTGGGGGCGTTTTCGGGGGCCTCCTGGAGGCAGTTTGGACGCCTCTCGGGGGCCGTTTGGGGGACCTCTTTTGGGACTCTTGGAGGCCTCTTGGGGTCCTCCTGGGGGCCTGGGGCGGAAGGCTTGGATTTTCGGTTTGTGTTCAAAGTTGGGCCCTTTTTGGGTCGGTCTTGGGGCCCTATTGGGCAGTGTTGGGCGCCCCTTGGGCTGTCTTGGGCCCCTCTTGGGCCGTTTTGGCTTGGGCCGTCTCGGGGCAGTCTTAGGGGCCTCTCGGGTCTAGGGCTGTGTGGGAGCGTCGGGAAACCGAAACGGCGAGAACGCCAACATCCTTGAAAAGCCGAGGCTAAATCAATGATTTTGGCCTCTTGGGGCCCTCGTGGGGGTGCTGTCTGTCGGAGGCCTCTGGGGCCGTCTTGGAGGTGTCTGGGGCTGTCCCGAGGCTATTGACAACCTCTTTGAGCCGTGTCTCGGCGAGCTGGGGCTCTCTGTTGTGGGCGGGCACAGCGTCCAGAGGACTTGCAGGAAACACCCCAGAACTCACGGGAGGCAGCACGAGAAACCCCGGAACGCCCCAGGACGGCCTGGGAATCGGTTGGTGCGGACCCTGAAAGACTTACAATTCGAGTTGCAGCAGTAGCACAGATTCGACCTCTCAGTGCTGCATGATCCTTGGGGCACTCCACTTCGTGCCAGAGGCACGGTGGCGGATCCAGTTGTTTCTTCTACTCTCCGGCCCCATTCGGGAGGCCCTCCCGAGGAGCTGTGGGAGTCGCTGCTGGCGAAGACCCGGCGAGCGAGGCAGGACGCCGTCGGCACGCCGCGCGCTCAACGGCAGCGGTGGGGCCTGCTTGGCGCCGCCTGAGAGCGCCAGGCGTGGGAGGCCCCCACAGATTGTCAGCATCGTTCTTCCGATCTCTTATTATCTCCATCCATCCCGATCCCCACACTCCATTTTGGGATGTGTCCCTCGAAGCTCGAAGAGAACAGCTTATATCCCCATCTAAGGGGCGTAAATCAGCCAGTGGGGCCCAGGCCACGCCAGTGAGACTAACGTGCGTAATTCATGTGGGTCAGCGCTAACGGGGGTCAGCCAATCTTCTGTGGCTGATCTGGGTTTGGGAGCCACGTGGGGCCGATTCCCCCTTCCTGCCCTCCGCTGACCCAGGCTTGAGAGCTACTTTGTGGACGGCCTGGGTTCGCGGCGTGGCAACGGTTGACCCGGGTTTGCGCTGACCGGGGTTTAGTGCGTTCCCGACAAGAGAGGGGCGCCGTCGGGGCGTGGCTGGGCCAGCCACGAGAGGGGTAATCTCTTCGGGTGGACGAAGTAAAACAAACAGCATAAACCGAAACTTTCGGAGCTCCTCGCAGATTTCTTAGAACTGCGCTGGGCCCCCCTGGCGGCGCCTCCGGCGCCGCCCCTGGCGCGCGGGCCAGGGAGGAGGCTTTGCCGCGGATCCAAGATATCGGCGCGGAGTTCCGAAAGTTTGTGGTTATTTGGTTTTGGTTTGTCAAAACGGGGGGGGAGGGGGGGGCAATAAACGAAGGGGGATCGTGGACTGCAGGAAAGGAGCCCTACATGCCCGCTAAACTACCACCGCGGGGCCGAAAGATGCACGAACGGTCACACTTCCTCAACCCACGTTTGTTGCCTCCCCGTCAGCGAACGCCCGTGGCAGCATCCCCGGGAGTCCCCAGAAGGTTCGTCAGTTTGGCACGCAGGGTGGGAGGGGAGAGGAGTGGGAGGGGAGATGAGGGAGGGAGGGAGGCGAGGGAGGGGAGGACGGGAGGGGAGAGGAGAGAGGGCGAAGGCAGGAGCGAGGAGGGAGGGGAAAGAGAAGAGAGGGAAGGAATGGGTGAGCCCCATGCAGCAAGTCTTTCCTGTGTGACGAGCCCCCAGGGGTCCAGGGTGCAGCCTCCACTGTTCTGGCTGGTCGGGTGGCGGGCAAGAGAGGACGAACATTTAGGTCCGCTACCCCCAAAGAGGCTGAACCGGGGAAGCTACAAGAGCGCTCATCGGAAGTCCTTTTCCCGCCCTCACCCTTTCCCCGCTCGCCCCAACATGTGCGGCTCCTGGGGGCAGGCTTCGGAGCTCCAGGGCTATTCGCGATCTCTTGTTTGCTCAGCCTTCCGGTCCTGGCGGAGGCGGCTTCTTGAGAACCAAAGAGGCGCCAACCTGAGGGATGGTGGCGGCTCTCCGCGAGCACTTTCAACAGTAGGCGGTCTCAGGTAGGACATGACCGCCAAAGGCGCGATGTCACTAGGCGGGGCGAAGCAATATGTCCGTCACATTGAGCCGTCACCAATATCATCGCTACTGTCGTCGCCAGGCTTACTTCCAAAGCACAGAAGATTGTCGCATCGGTTAAGGCGATCGTAGCATGTCTCGTGTCAGAGCTACAGCGGTTTTGCTGATTGAAAATCCAGGCGCAGATGCACGATCAGCGATCGTGGCTTAATCCTCTCATCCCGACATCGAGTTACCCCGTCCCTTGGGGACTCGTCCCCAGATTGGGAATGATGATCTTGCCTCCAGTCTGGTCGAAGAATCGATCCCTCCCAGTATATTACCGATTTTCTTCCAAGGGTTCCCGATGTAGTCTTCATGCTGCGATGGCTCACGCGTTGCAGACCATTTCGGCCCCATTGGCTAGGATGCCGCGGGCTTGCTGTGAATATTCTGGGCTGGGCGACGTATGCCCAAATGCTGGCCCGAGTTGCGGGTGATGATGTGATGCGTCGTTGAGCAAGTGTCACGACTGGCTTGAGCCTGGCTCCAGGGAGCTCGTGCTCGTTGGCCAAGTCCTGGACGATTAGGTGCGCTGGACGTTGGGGCTTTTCATGTGCAGTTTGGACATTGCTGGGTCTAGTGTGACACTGGAGTTAGGAACACGGTGGGGCAGGTTGCAATATTCGGTACCGTTGTGCTGGTCATTACCGTGTAGCCAAATTTGCCAGTAGAAACAGTATGCAGCACTGCACACGGAAGCCAACATATATTCACACATGCGATCAGCATAGGCCCCAGGTTAGATACCATTCCGATCTCATTGTCAGCCAGAGATTTGAACGTTGCCACGATTTGCACGAATATGTTTTCAGAATGGGTCCGATATGCTTCCGGTGTACACCCCCGCCCTCGAGAAATTAGAAATATCTTGTCCTTTTGATGCTCAGGCCGTCTGTAGATTCGGAGGTGGTGCGTCTTGTATTTTTATCTGCCAGTGGGGCGAGTTGTTTTCGCGAGTCCCCAGTCGTATTGCGAGCGCGCCTCATTGTAGCTGGAGCAAGTGGGGCGTCGGATAGAATGGCCGCACCAGACTTTGCGGGTACTGATCCCAACCTCGGTTGGTCTGAGGTTCTTGAGAGCCAGACCGCCCGGCTCAAACACCGAGCTTCAAACTGGATCCTCGTCCGGTCTTCTGGCCAAATGGCCCATGTACAGCATTTGTCTACGCGCGAGACTATCGCTCAAGGCATCTGTTGGCAAATCTGCAGAACTGTACGATTCGACACCCGACTGATACACGACGGGGGGACTCTGCAAATCCGTGTGAGACAATAATTCTGGGGGATGACGGGAAGAGGAAACGGAAAGGAGGGGTGAAGGGGGAGGAGGGGGGGGGAGGGCGCGAAGGGGAAGGAGGGTGGGAGGAGGGGGAGGGGGAGGAGGGGGAGGAAGAAGGATGGGGCGAGAAGCATCAACATCACCAGCACCAGCAGCAGTAAAAGTCAGAGGGGGGCGGCCCCAGAACTACTGTTTGTGGATAGCGACAAAACGTCCCGCGGATGCCGCAACTACCCTCAGAGGCCGCCCGAGACAGTCTTGGGGGCCCATGGTGCTAAAGAATTGACTACTTCCGCCGAGAGGGCGGTACAGCTCGCAGGTGGGAGCAGGCCGTCAAGGCATGGGCGGCGTGCTGAAGGCATCCGCTTCCATGCACATGTTCACCCATTGCTCACGCGCTGTGGCCGGCGCAAGGCTTCTGTACTGGACGTCATCCCCCACCCCTCCTGCCAGCAACCCAGTCTTCTCGGCCCAGGGCCAACCCGGCCGGTGTGGAGCAGGTTGGGTTTCGTGTGCGCCTCGAATGCGGGCAGTGGGCGATGCCGTGGTGCCCGGGCTGGCGGAGTGGCTCGCCGGTGCCGGCCTGGCCTGGCGCCTGCGGTCGGTGGAGGCGTGGTGCGAGCGCATGGGCGCCAGCACCCTGGAGGAGGTGCTGGAGGCCTTCGACGAGCTCGCCGAGGACCTGGGGCTGGCCCGCGCGGAGCGCGAGGAGCTGTCGCCCGCCCATCGCGGGGGCACAGGAAGCGAGTCTGTGCTGGCGTTCGGGCCGCCGGAGTGCCCGCGCAAGTACGCCCTCTTGGAGGAGATCGGCTCTCAGGGGCAACGGTAGGGGGGACAGGCTCAGGGGGGAATGTAACGACCCCCCAATCGCCTATTCGCCGATGAGGGGACTGGGGCCTCATAGCTCACACCCGACCAGGACCTTCTGGGTCGCTATTGGGGGCCTATCGCCGATCTACCGGCGCTCTGATCGCCGATTCCAGCCTGATGTTCCCCCCCCTGAGCCTGTCCGCCCCCGACCGTTCCGACTCAGGCTCAGGGGCTACGGCGAAGGTGTTCAGGTGCTCGGCGGGTGGCCAGGCGTACGCCGTCAAGTCCATCGGGCTGTCTAAGCTGCGGCGCGTGGCAGACTACCCGCGGATCTTGGAGATGCTCCACCAGGAGGTCGCGATCCTGTTCTCATTGCAGCACCCGCGGGTCGTCGCTCTCTTCGACGTGGTCGAAGAAGCGGACTGCCTTCGTCTCGTCATGGAACTTGCGGACGGAGACACCTTGGAGAGCTATCCAGTGGCGCTGCCGCGGGATTCCGCCACCGCGCGCGGGCGGGCGCGGGGGGCGGGGGGGGGGCATGGGGGGAGGGTCCGTAGACCCCCTTCTGTAAGGTTTGTGCATTTGAGCATCTATTCTGCTTTGAAGGCCAGAGAGTAGAAAAATTGACGCATCGTGGGCTGGATGCGTCTGGAGCACCAACTATTGCGTCGCATACGGCGAAGGGGAGCCGACGCACACCAATCGTTGCAAGCGCGGAGGCGGACATCTGCGAAAGGGGCGCTCTCGCGGAGGAGACCTGCGGTTGCGTGTTCGTGCAGGTGGCGGAGGGTCTGAGGTACATCCACTCCAGGGGAGTGGCCCACCGCGACCTCAAGCCAGACAACGTCCTCGTGTGCCGCAGCCGCCGTGGCGAGGGTCCGCCCGAGGTGAAGCTCACCGACTTCGGGCACTCCCGAGTGGTGGACGACCACTTCTTCGGACAAGATATCTCTTCGTATCCATTGCGTCTTGGACTTTCTGGGAAGGGGCGCCAAAAGGGCGAGGCGCAGTGGAAAATTGCGGACCTAACAATATAGCCTCCAAGGGCTAGCTTCTTGTCCATACCCACTTCGCCTCGGGCTTCTGGGAAGGGAGCCCGACACTCCAAGATGCAGCGGACATGGATGTACATCTTGCCCGCAGCTTCGGCGCCGCGCAAGGGTCAGTGGGCACGCCGCTGTACATGGCACCCGAGGTCAGCGCGGGCCTGGCGGCCGTGGACGACCGCGACGCAGACCTCTGGAGCCTCGGGGTGGTGCTCTTCGTCATGCTTGTGGGGTCGTGCCCCTTCCGCGGCTCCGGCGTGGAGCTCGCGAGGGAGATCCAGCCCGAAGAGCAAACACACAGCCTCAGCATCAACTTTTGGAGCTCCGCGCGGATCTCTTGGATCGGCGTTGAACAACCCTCTTCCTGGCGCGAAGTGCGTCAGGGGCGGCGCCGGAGGCGCCGCCAGGGAGGCCCGGCGCCGATCCAAGAGATCCGAGCGGAGCTCCAAAAATTTAGTCTTGCGCTGTTATTTGTTCCTCTACCAGCGGGGGAACTTCGATTTCTGGAGCGACGACCCCAAGCCGCCCCCGAGCAGGGAGGCCCAGGCCCTGGTGCGCGCCCTGCTGCGCGTGGACCCGAGGAAGCGGGTGCCCCTCGACTGGTGCCTGGTGCACCCCTTCGTGGCGCCCGGCGGGGCCCTCTTCTCGAAGATCAAACACTGGCATAAACATACATAAACATTTGTAGCTCCGCGCGGATTTGTCGAATCGGCGCTGGAGCCCCTTGGCGGCGCCTGCAGCGCCGCTCCTGGCGCGTGGAGCGCGCCAGGTAAAGGATTCCAGTGCCGATCTAAGAAAGACCGCCGACCTCCGAAAGTCTTTGTTTATGCCACGTTTTGCTCCTCGATCTTCCGGCACCTGTTCGGCGGCGTGGCCGCGCCAGAACCCAGCGTTGTCGAGGAGCGTTACCGGCTGCCCGCCTGGCTGACCGACGCCCAAGCCAGGCAGCTGCGGGCAGACCTCCGCACGTGGATGCTCAAGTTCAGGTGCTCCGCATTGACGCGGGGCGCCGACGTCGTGATCACCTACGGAGACGACGCTACCGTGGATTGGGACAGGGTTCGCTCCGCTCATGCCGAGGTCGCCCAGATCATGAACTACCACATCGGCGCGCGGCGCCCGTGTTCGGGCACGGTCGAGCAGGAGCTCCGGTCACGCGGGGGCCACGGCGGAGCCAGGCCGAGCCCTGCGCTGCCAGGGGCGGGGCCAGCCCGAGCGACGCCGGCGACCAGGGCGGAGTCGGAGCCAGCCCCATTGGCGGCCTCGCCGAGGACGGCCGCGCAGGAGGCCGAGCTGGCGCAGGCGGGGATGACGCTCTTGGCTGCCGCGCTGGCGGGGCGAGGCAGCACCGCTGCGGGCGCGCCCCAGGATTCGGAGGGCGCCAGTTGTGTTGTGCACCTACACACAGCCTGGGCAGACCGATGCTGGGCCTAAGAGCGGTGTACACGCCGTCCTGCCTCGGCCAGGAGAGCGCATGCTCAGACTGCGGTGCCTGGATTGGCCAGGCCAGGATCGGTGCAGGTACATATGGGAAGACATCGGCATGGCGCCGAAGCCTAATTGAGGCGCTGCTCCCGCGGCCCATTCCGGTTTCAAAACTCACTCGATGGGGCGGTGGCCCTGGCAGGGCCTTCGCAACCAACCAGCTTGGGAACCACCCTGACACCGCACCACCACTTCGGGAACCACAGCTGCTGCCTGCCCCTCATCGTGACCCGCGCGGCAAGTCGCTGTGTTTGCCGGGTGAGTGTAATTGACGCCTTCCCGAGGAGCCCGAGCCCGATCCTGCGAGGCTCGGGGCCGCCCGCGCCGTGCGGTCGCCGCCCGCCGCGCTGGCTGTGGACGAGGACGACGCCCGCCAGCGCAGGTTCGAAGCCCGGCGGCATGCCCACGCCGCCAGGGGCTCAACGGGCGCATCGCCGGCGGGCCCAGTGGGTGTTTCACCCTCGCGGGCAAAAGCGCCACCGCCGCCGTCAGCTTTGCCGTCGTCGTCGGCCCAGCCATGCTCGCGTCGCGGAGAATACACGGCGGACGGTTTTTGTTGTTGTTAGTTTAGGCGCTTCACGCAACCCCACCAGCAAATCAGGAAAGAATGCCCAGGCGAGTTGCCCTGACCAGGGCTGCGCAGAAGTATGCAGTGGACTAAAAGGCTGGGTAAGACGTCGTACCCAAAGAGAAGGAGGATGGAGGAGGAATTAGAGGAGGAACGCGTCCGTAGCCATCTTGGCTCGAGCGCGCGCGCCGCGCGCCCGGCTGGCTGGCCTCACCACCCCAACCGCAGCCGCGGTCGGGGGGCGCCGCCATGGCGAGTTCAACATCAACCACCAGCTGTTGAATTTCAAGTTTACGAGACGATCTCATTTTTTGTAAAGACGAACGGGCGAGGATGCAGCCGGTGCGAGCAGACGCGGCCCAAAAACAAATTGGGCACAACGTCCGGCATGGGATACAGGCTCCTCGACCAGAATGCATCATCATCGTTGCTACGACCGCCCTCGCGAGTCCGTCCAAGCACGAGCTGCGTAACGTGTCTGGTTTTTTCTCATATATCGAAAGCGTTTCCTTTTACGGTGTTGAGATCGGCGATCGGGAAATCATGATTTGAGCGTTTTCGGTCCCAACAAGAAGACTAAACGCGCTAAGAAACACAAGTCGTACTCTTGCGCCCCAGCTACGTATTCGTAGCGTTTGCTGATGAGTTGGTCACATTGTTTAACACTGCCGTCAACGACGTCTTCTGATCCTTTCCTTGGCGCGTAATCCTCAGCCTTTTCTGGCCCTCTCAGTCGGGCCGTTTTCCTGGGGCGTCGGTCCTCCAGGACCGATGGCCGATGACCCTTCCTGGGGCAATCAGGTCTCTGGGCCTGTTTCGGGCCAGCGATAGTCCGGCGTTAAACCGTTTATCCGCAAGGGTTTCGCCCCACGCCGCCGGCCCCCTGTCTCGGAGAATGGGAGATGCAAGAGCTAAATCATGAGGTCTTGGCGCCGCCGTGAAGCAGTGTCGGGACCTGTTTGTTGTTCGACCCTGACCCTACAGATCTGCGTCACGGGTGCCACCGAATTTCAGAAATGTGGCAAATCCCTTGTGTTTTTTTTCGACCCTGACCCTACGGATCTGCGTGATGGGGTGCCGCCGAATGTGAGACATGAGGCGATTCCCATGTGTTTTTGGACCGTGGCCCTGCCGATGTGAGCGAGGGTGCCAGCAAATTTCAGAAGCGTGGCGCATCCCATGTGTTTTTGGGCCCTGACCCCGCCGATCTGTGTGAAGGGTGACAGCGCAGTTTTAAGAAATGTGGCACATCCCATGTGCTTTTTTGGGACCCTGACCCTGCCGATCTGCGCGAGGGGTGCCACCGGATTTCAGGAATGTGGCACATCCGATGTTTTTCGGGGCCCTGGCCCCGCCGATCTGTGTGAAGGGTGCCAGCGCATTTAAGACATGTGGCACATCCCATGTGTTTTTATTGGCCCTGACCCAGCCGATGTGCGTGAGAGGGCGCCGCCGAATTTAAGACACGTGGCGATTTTTTTTTTGACCTTGACCCCGCCGATTTGCGCGAGGGGTGCCATCATATTTCAGAAATGTGGCGCATCCTCTTTGTTTTTGCACCCTGACCCCGCCGATCTGCGCGAGGGGTGCCGCCGGATTTCAGAAATGCGGCAAATCCCGCAAGTTGGTTGACCCTGACCCCGCCGATCTGCGTGAGGGTGTCAGACAATTCCCGAAACGTGGCGCATCCCATGTGTTTTTGGGTCTGACCCCGCCGATATGTGCGATGGGGTGCCAGCAAATTTTTGATACGTGGCACATCTCATGTGTTTTTGGACCCTGACCCCGCCGATTTGCGTGAGGGGTGTCAATTGTTATCCACCCCGGCAATTCGGAGCACGCGTTCAGGGCGCGGTAAAAATACCCGTTGTGGGCCTCCCCCAGTCGCGCGGTCCATCAACAAGGCACGATGTGCAGCAGCAAGTCAACAAGGAACAGCAAGCAACAAAAAACAGAACTGTAACAGTGGAAACTGGAAGCTGCAACTGGCACAGGAAATTGCTACACTTCGGCCTGCAGCCTGGTGGCCCCGCAAGGGGGTTGGCGGATGACGGCAAGCGTGTTCGAGGAACGAGAAGCGAGCTGGACGTTTTGGCTGAATCCTCCTTATATCAGTAAGAGGCCTCTTAACTATAGGGGTTGGCGGGCCGCGCGGCGTACCAGGCTTAGCGGATTCCTCGGGATGGCGATTTTACGTGAGACATCCTCACAAACATGAGATCTTCGCGACATCGCGTTTAACAAAAACAAGCGTTTCGTTCGAGACATCCTCGAAAAGTTGATGACAGCGAAATGTCGCCGTCTCTGAAAATTTGCGTCTCGCTCGGGACATCCTCGAACAAATGAGATGACGACTGAAGTCTGTAACTAACTCTTAAGTTAAGAATTGCGATCTCGCCAGGGACATCCTCAGAAAACGAGCGGCAGCACGGCGGACCAGAACCAAGAGCACGGCAGAACATTTGCATTTCGCTAGGGGCATCCTCAACAAAATGAGATGTCCCCAACGTCGTCTTGGTATCGTTCTCGAAGTGCCTCAAGATGAGGAAATGAGAGGCCAAAGAGCACGTCAATATGGCTGTCAGAACGATTGGGGGACTTCCGAAAGTAACGATTTCGCTAGGGACATCCTCAGACAATGAAAACATACACCAGCATCGACTTGAAAACTGCTGTTCTTACATAGTTTTGACTTTGCTTCTGAAAAGGTTTCCAGACAGCCCAAGGCAGCCTCCAAAAAATACAGATTTCGTTAGGGACATCCTCAAAACATTGATGCGTGCGACATCGCATCGTCATGAGTTTAGGAGGGCAGGAAGCAACAGGAAGCCACAACATGGCCCCAAGAACGCCCTTAAGGTTGCTGAAAAAAGTGGTTTCGTTCGGGTTTTTCTTTCAAAAAAAAATAGCCTGGCGAAGGACCCAACCATATGCAGCTGCGAGTACCGCACGGATATGAGACGAAGGAGGGGGCACGCAAACTAGGCTCCTCTTCTCATAGGTACCGCGCCACTGGGGCCTTCGGTGGAGCTCCTTATGGGTCCACGAAACGTGTGAAGGGTGTGCCGAAATCGGTGGTGGGGAGGCATGCGGACCCTGCCACTGGGGCCTTCGGTGGAGCTCCCTATGGGGCCACGAAACGTGTGAGGGGTGTGCCGGAATCGGTGGTGGGGAGGCATGCGAACGCAGCCACTGGGGCCTTCGGTGGAGCCCACTATGGGGCCATGAAGCGTGTGAAGGGTGTGCCGAAATGTGTGGTGGGGGGCCGTTGGGGCCTTCGGTGGAGCCCCCTATGGGGCCACGAAACGTGTGAGGGGTGTGCCGAAATGGGTGGTGGGGAGGCATGCGAACGCAGCCACTGGGGCCTTCCGTGGAGCTCCCTATGGGGCCACGAAACGTGTGAGGGGTGTGCCGAAATGGGTGGTGGGGAGGCATGCGAACGCAGCCACTGGGGCCTTCGGTGGAGCTCCCTATGGGGCCACGAAACGTGTGAGGGGTGTGCCGAAATGGGTGGTGGGGAGGCATGCGAACGCAGCCACTGGGGCCTTCGGTGGAGCTCCCTATGGGGCCACGAAACGTGTGAGGGGTGTGCCGAAATGGGTGGTGGGGAGGCATGCGAACGCAGCCACTGGGGCCTTCGGTGGAGCTCCCTATGGGGCCACCCCGGCCATGGGGCCACGAAACGTGTGAGGGGTGTGCCGAAATGGGTGGTGGGGAGGCATGCGAACCCAGCCACTGGGGCCTTCGGTGGAGCTCCCTATGGGGCCACGAAACGTGTGAGGGGTGTGCCGAAATGGGTGGTGGGGAGGCATGCGAACGCAGCCACTGGGGCCTTCGGTGGAGCTCCCTATGGGGCCACGAAGCGTGTGAGGGGTGTGCCGAAATGGGTGGTGGGGAGGCATGCGAACGCAGCCACTGGGGCCTTCGGTGGAGCTCCCTATGGGGCCACGAAACGTGTGAGGGGTGTGCCGAAATGGGTGGTGGGGAGGCATGCTAGCAGCCACTGGGGCCTTCGGTGGAGCTCCCTATGGGGCCACGAAACGTGTGAGGGGTGTGCCGAAATGGGTGGTGGGGAGGCATGCGAACGCAGCCACTGGGGCCTTCGGTGGAGCTCCCTATGGGGCCACGAAACGTGTGAGGGGTGTGCCGAAATCGGTGGTGAGGAGGCATGCGAACGCAGCCACTGGGGCCTTCGGTGGAGCTCCCTATGGGGCCACGAAACGTGTGAGGGGTGCGCCGGAATTGGTAGTGGGGAGGCATGCGAACGCAGGAGGGAGGAGGGCGAGGAGAAGGAGGAGGAGGAGGAGAAGGAGGAGGAACGCGGGGACCGTCTGTTCAACGAGGACCCAACACCACAGGATGGTTGGGGAAAAAATCGAACAACATCGTTTTGAAAACTGCTGTTTTAACATCGTCTGGGGATCGCTCCTGGAAAGGCTTCTAGATAGTTTAAGCCGTTCATCTAAAAATGACGATTTCGCTAGGGACATCCTGAAACCATGAATGTGTGTAACATCGGATTGTAACGGCACTGTAAGGCATCAAGAAGGCCCCCAAAGGCCCCAAGCAAGCCCAAATTTGACCCCCAGGAGCGCACTTGAGACGATCCAATATGGCGATTTCGCCTGAGACATCCTTACAACAATGAAATGTTCACAACATCGATTTCATCAAGAATGAGCGTTTGGCCTGAGACATCTCTTAAACATGGGAACCCGCGAATTCGACAGATGTTCAACAACTGGCGTCTCGCCTGAGACATCCTAACAAAAATGATATCTCGGAGTGGCGGTTTCAATACCTCTCATGTTTAAAATCGCGCTCTCGCTGCATACATCCTCAAAACAAATGGGCGGAGCATGGCCGGCGAAACAAAGTGCTCCTTCGCTCTTGACGTCTATTCTGCCGTGCTCTTTCGTTCTCGGGGTCTATTATGAAATGCTCCTTGTTGTTTTGTGCGAGTTCCTTCGCTCTTCTAGCCTATTCTGCCATGCTCCT